TGAGCGCAATAGACGGAAGGAAATAAACCAGTCGCTGACCGACAACGAATCCACCTGGTGGAAAACAGACGCATCACTAGACAAAATAATATCGTATGAGCATAAACCAGCCTCCAGTTAGGTGACGACTAATAATGCAGTGAAAATAATCGTCCAACACAGTCAGACACACGTCATGAGTCCGATTAGGCGGCAGAAAGACAGTGAAGCCCGCTGTAGGCTTGTGTAAATGAAGAAGTTCTTATGCAAACTACAATCAGAGTATTGGAATGTAAATGCTAGGTGCGTAATGCAGCCCGCAGAATGTGCGTTGTTTCCGTTTTGCACATGTTCAGGCGTCGCTAAGCCAGTTCTAACGCATACTTTACGAAATGCAGATGTCAACGGTTACTTGGTTTGGACGTCGGATTGGAACTACATACTCCTATACATTTGTCTCTAGTTATCTCTTATATCGGTCCTCAAAATCATTACCGTAAGCATTCTGAGGAAATAAATAAGGTAAGTGTTTCATTTCTCTCCACTTTAGACAAATTGATTTTATAAAGAAGATGCAGACCCGATCTCTCGGACAGAAAGGTTTATTAGTCTGAGCTTTCGGTCTCGTACAGGAGGCCATCGTCAGGGACTGTGAGAAGGCAACATCAAATGAGCGGTTTTTGTAGTCACGCCATGAAGGGGGGAGAGGAATGAGTGCAGAGGGTGGTATTCGCGATACGTTGAGTCCCACGCCGTCTCACGTTGGCGTGCCTGCGTGCACCCTTGGCTAAAAAATTGGGTCTCGCCCCTTGGCCGCGGGAACGGAGCGCGTGATAGAAGAGGGGTATGTCAACGTGCCTGTTGATAGAGTTGGTGTCAGACACTCTGGCTTCTAACAGTTCTCGTCCTGTCTTACTGATGGCCCACGCCACTATCCGCATGCTCGCAAAGTTGAATTCGTGGCCTTCCTCTAGGGTGTGAGTGGCGACCTGAGACAACGGGTAGCCTCTACGGACCGTCCGTTTTTGCTCCGTTATTTGTGAGCTAAGTCGTCGTCCGGTTTGTCCAGTGTAGTGGCGAGGACAGTCCCGACATGGGATCTGATAAACGACACCCGATTGCTCTACCACGTCTAGGCGATCCTTCACTTGCATGATTTTGCTGCGCATGGTCGCTGTCGGACGGTGAGCGATACCCAAGCCGAGCTCTCCAGCCATACGTTCCATCGCTTCAGACACCTTCTTTATATATGGCAGAGGGTGTCAGAGTGCTGGCGGCTCTCCTCTGTTTGTTCGCCGTGGGCGCGTGCGGAGGCAGTGGCTGACGAAGGTGTTCGGGTATCGATTCCTTGCCAGTTGGTCCCGAAGATGCCGAAGGTCTCTTACTCGTTTTTACTCACTGGAAGAGTGTCCTAACACAGCTGTGTTTATGCGCCATTGGGTGGTTACTGTGGCAGTTGAGAATCTCAGTCGTGTTAGTCGCCTTTCTGTACACCGTGGTGTTGAGTTCGTCGTTGGGTGTGCGTGTGACGAGAACGTCAAGGAAAGGCAGCTGTTCGGCGTGCTCTTCTTCCCTTGTGAACTGAATGTCTGGGAAGAAGCCGTTGAGCAGGTCTTGGAAGTCGGCCAGTCTGCTCCTTTCAATTATGACGAACGTGTCGTCCACGTACCGGCGCCAAAATGCAGGTTCATAGTGGTCGAAGGCGACTTTTTCCAGCTCCAGCAGGACTAGTTCTGCAACCAGGCTGGATATTGGCGAACCCATCGGCGTTCCTTTGATCTGCTCGTATGTTCTGCCATTGAAGGTGAAGTAGGTTTGTTGGCAGAAAGCAAACAGTTACAGTAAGTGATCGATTTTTAGGGGTCTGTTCGTCTCGTCGTAATTCTCTTCGAGTCGTTTGCGGAGAACGTCGCGTGCCAGGTCCGGTGGGATGGACGTGAATAATGAAACCACGTCAAAGGACACCATGATCTGCTCCGGACGGACAACTTTTCCTCGGATGTCGGCCAGGAATTGGAAGGCCGAATTGATGGAGGTCCTTGAGCCTTCTCTGAGAAAGTTAAGTTTTCGGGCCATCCACTTGGATAGATTGTAAGTGGGGCTGCCTTTCAAGGCAACAATCGGTCGGCTTGTGGATTTTGGGTAATCCATAAAACCGGGCCAGTGCCGTGTCCGTTGGTTTCATCTGCCGCCATTCGTCTAGCGATAAAGCACTGTTTCTTTTGAGTCGGTTCAGGAGTCCAGTTAGTTGACCAATCATCGATTTGGCTCCCGAGTGGGGCGTGGACTTATAGGACTGTTGGTCGTCTAGGAGGGCTTGTGCATTTACGTTGTAGTCAACGCGGTTCATCACGACGGTTGCTCTTCCTTTGTCGGCTGGCAGCACTATTATATCTGTGTCCATTTTTAATTCCTCCATTGCTTCTATTTCTGCGGGCGACATATTATTGATGGGCCGTTTCGTCAGCAGTAGGGAGGTGACATATAGATCACCATTCTTTTACCTGTTTCCTTTGTGTTCATAGGATCAATGCAATGTTTTCTGTACAACAAAACACCTGCTTAGTATTTTTCTATCATTTTTACACCCGTACATCTATAAAACGCAATTTGAAGTAGGCAGGATGATAGTACCGACAAAGAAAAAGGAGACTGGAATGGTCATTTTTGGCTTATTAGCCGACTTTAGTCAGTCATACCCAACCCCGAAATGCGATACTCTTTGTGAGTGCAAGCTTTGCGTGTTCCACACTTCGGGGTTGATTATGACTGGTTGAGAACAAATTATAAGCCAAGAATGACCGTTCCAGTCTCCATGGTTTTTGTTGGTAATACAATTTTGCCTATTTCATGCGCCGCTGTGCGGCTGCTGGTTGGACTCAAGAGAGAGTTCGCAGGGCACAGCAGAACGAGCGCGTTCCGTAAGAACGATGTGTGAGCGCCTCTGTACGCCAATTTGAAGTGTGTTGAAGCGCCACAATTTGAGTTTGACACATTCTTTATTGGTAGTTTCCTTACCTGGGAGTCAAATCCAGGGCCTTCACATGTTCCACTTTCTTTCGATAAGCACATATGTGCTATCTTTTGCAATTTAAAGCATTTGTTGTCCTGACTAAATATGCTAGTGATTCTTGATGGAAATAATTCTTTCTTACATTACCCGTCTCGGCATATGCGGTATTGTCACTGTTAATTGTGCTAGGCGGATCATTATGAATGCTCAGAAACCAATGTTAAACGCATAGAATAGACATGACAACAAGTAGCCAAAAGTAGATGCGGGACACAGATGCAATGTGAACGAAAAATGGTTCCTCCACTAGACAAGTTCTCAAATGTCATTAACTATTTGGTAATAATTTTTAATGTGGGGAGGGTAGGTGGACTGCAACATAAAGGAAAAGAAAGGCGGTGTCAATGTAGGACACACTGACCGACTTTCTGCTGTTATTAATTTAAATGGGCAATCAACAAAGTACTGATGTTTTGTATCTGTTTCTGTACTTAATTTTTTTTGCCCTTTTATGCGCCCTCCTCCTTTATACGCCCTCATACGTAGCCTTTATTAACTTGGTTGTAATATAGGCGTTTCTCAAAAATGTGACTTTCGTCGAAAATTATTTATTTTTGTCTCAGTAAATAATATTTTCTAAACCAAACTTTGCTTTATTTCTTTGGCCCATCTTTAGTTTTCCGCTATCAGACTTTGGGAGCCGTGGTGTTTACCGATTCTGAGTTAAAGTCGTTTACCTGTGTTAATTCATGACATTTCATGAGTTAGCACAGGCATTGTAAAATAAAAAGAAAGGCGGTGTCAATGTAGGACTCAATGGTCCTAACTTACTTTCATTGACTTACGCAGCAGCAGCCAGTAGAAGCTGTTACTGTGGTTCGCAGTAAAAACCATGCATCAGTAGTCATGCATTTCACCATTGTACCTTGCGGCAACAGTCACCGCAGGAGTTAGTGCGTCCGAGACTTTGCGGACATCAGCAATTGCCCCTGCGCTCTGGCGAAAATAAATGTACCATGAAATTGCTGACAACGCTGCAGTATCGAAATGGTTTGAAAAATCATTATCATAAAGGGATGACGATTCAACACCATCCCGATGTAGCTGCTTTTTCCTTCTTTGTTCCCTAGGAAAAGTGAATTTGGCTCCTGTTTTTTTTCGTAATTTGGTGGAGAAATCAGGATAAAATCAGTGCGTTTCAATACATTAGAAAAAGATTGGTGTTTTGGGCTGATGCTCAAACTTGATGGGCAAGTAGAAGCTTTATATGCTCATTTATGGCCACGCGGAAGATGCCCTGGACCAACCCGAGAATCTGTTAATTTTCTACTCGACGCATGGAGTGAATATGCGGAAGCACAAAGCATGATAGCAAATAATAAAGGCAGATCGAAGCCTCCCACAGACACTTTGCTGAACAGCTCTATTTATCTTCAAGAAAGTGAATATTGGTAGTCACCGTGAAACGACATCATAAACCGCATGTTGACTTGTATCCTTAATTTTATAGACGAGACGTATGTAAAGCAATGCAGAAATGCCGACTTTGTGTATGGACTGTTAACTGCAAGCTGATGAGATGCATTTAATAATAAGCTGAGGGTGGTACGTTTGTCAAATCTAATTGCCAGTTTCCTCCTCCATCCACGCTCGGATGTCGTTCGTCTTTGAAATAAAAACGTTTTCCTTCCGAAGAGCGACTTTGGCTTCTTTTTTTTCGTAATTTGGTGGAAAAACCAGGACATAATCAGTGCATTTCAATACATTTAAGAGGGTTTGGTGCTTTGGGCTGATGATCAAACTTGATAGGCAAGATGAATTTTTATATGCTTATTTATGGCCACGCGGAAGATGCCCTGAACCAACACGAGAATCCTATCGAATGACGGCTGGCGTTATCGGAATGCTCATCATAATAAATGTCAGCGTTTCAGGATTCGCTGGCAGACCCAGATGGCAGGGGAGGCTGCGCACATTGGGACCTCTGCCATTCCTGCCACTTCTTGATGATCAAAACCCTGGTCATTTGATATGTGGACCAGGAGGTGTGGAATGCCGATTTTCGTGCTCGGCCGTGCTATCCACCTACGGTCTCCCCGCCTCCGGTCTTCCTGACTATCTCCTGACACCGGCTCGAGTGGAGAACGAATAGTAAGGCAGTTTGACAAACTGAAGCTTAACTACCACTGAAAACTAAATCAAACGCAGGTCAGCGTGTCTACTATATCCAGTCTGTGGGGCATCAACTAGATACCGTTGGCGACGACGTTCGAGATGTCATTATTGTGCTTAGGGTTGCATCAATGTCAACCAGCCTAAAACAATGACCATTTCCATTAAAAGCTTTATATTGATCGTATATTACATAGTTACTCTAACAACATTTTGCATCTGCTGACTAATACACTTTGTTTTTGCTTTACGAATTCAAGGATTTCCATTATACACGTTCTTATGAGACGTCTAGTATGATATGTTTGTTCGCTTAAGATAACGGCTAACCTACATAGACCGTTTGAATCGCTTTGCGTCCACATGTTGAACCAGATGGGTTTTGTAAACACTTTTACGATCCCCCTTTAACGATTACTTATTGCCGTCTAGACCTCCACCAAGTCACATTAAAATCTGTCGACGTCTTGTATCGTTTAGTGTGATTAGTCGAAATAGTTTTGATTTAGGAATATTTTCTTTATGGCATATCCATGTAAAAAACTTCTTAGCGTACGAAAACACACTGCAGCCGTAAAAATGTTCATCACCGCATACTCAATTTGCGAAATCGTAAAATTCAAAGTCAAAAATATTTTTCTCGTCAGGCGTAAATCTCCTCACTATCTTTAGTTTTTCTATGTTTATTGTTTGCACGATCAAATGAGTAGAGTGCTTTCACTGACATCAGTTGCGAACAGGTTGGTGAGACAACGTCGGCTTGTTAAAAAGCACAACCCCTCTGTGTCCAGCAGTAAGGATGTTTACGAGGCTGAGATGTAAGTGTCACAATGCTGATAATACGCAAAGACGGTATAAGAACAGAGGACTATAATGGATATATGTTTGATCTCAGTTTGCGCATTTCGGTCGGGTGGACAGCAGGCGGTGTGATAGAGGTCAATTTTAGAGAGAATCATCTCATAAGAAGAATGATCGAATAAAAGAAGAAAGTAATAAGTTGACAATGCGGTCGGCAAAATTGTTCGTCGGGGTAAAAAAATAATTCTTATCATATTCTATCAAGTAGGCCTAGGCAGAAAACAGGCTGAGTATTTTTGATGATTAATTGCAACTGTTTCATCAGTATAACCAAGCTGTACTCAATCACTGGTTGGGCGTCGCTGAGTAATGTGAAGCTGGAAGAGATTTACCAAAAAAACTTCAAGAGACTTAAGGAAAGAAATATATGCATATACGCTTTTGGTAGATTAGCGCTCACCAATCGCGGTAAGCGGCACTTCTGTACTCTGAGCCTTGGGATTCAGTCTCGGGCCCTGGCAGCATCCACGTGGCAGCAAGTAATGCATGCAAAATAAAAGTATCGACAAGTACATAGGAAGCTGGAATGGCCAATTCTGGTTTACTGGCCATCAACGGCCTACATATCCGACCTCAGAAGTTAAGGATATTTGGAACGAATTTGGGAGGGGGGTGGCAAAATAGGTGGATAGTTGCGCAATAAGGAAAAAACTGTCAAGTATTAATGTAGTCGGAAAGAGAATTACATTAATTTGAGAAATACACCGCAGACAGTAGTCTATTTGATTACCCTCTAGTGCAGGCTATATTGGTCGTACGAGATGTCGCCTATTTACAACAAAATGAAAAATCCTAGAGGCGTGGCTGAATAAAAGGTAAAATTAAAAGAGTACACAAAACCATTCTCGAACACATGATTGATTCTAGGTGTCGTGTGGACCCCAAAGAAGCCTTTCGTATGATTTGCCAAATCTTACATAACTATCGCAAGCGATAAGGTCAGCGCCCGTTGGCAACAACAGAAGCGAATGAAATCAGGCTACGGAAGCTGTTCGTATGAGCCCTGAACGACCGCTTGTACGATCCGCGT